AGAAGACAACGCCTTGCCAAATGCTGTGAAAATAACACTGCCAAAAGTCCGCATTTTCCAGTGGTAGGCTATGCTGCCAAAAATTAATAAGGTACTTCTCACTATGCGGCTTTTACTCGAAAGCCGCCTCATTTTCTTGATGAAAAACTTGGTTATATTCCACTGACAATGAGAACATCTTCAGTTCGAAAGACGTCGTTTACTACCGCCTTGATCATCCCAGGAAACGCTGGTCTGCCCGATACGCATTCACTTTCACACTGCTTGTTCTATGAGTTTGTAGTAATTCGTTTGTTATATCCAGGTATTTGGCCATTTATCATGTGCCTTAGGGTTCACTTAAATAAACGTTACTGACTAACAATACGCTTTACTGACCAAATGACCTCAATTCTGGAATCCATAAAGAAAACGTGTACGAAAGGCGCTTGCAGTAGATGAGCAATCCGCAATGCCCTCCACAAATGATACAATTATCCATTATCCATGCATATTTCCAGTACGCATATCCCGTGGTCTGCTAAATTTGCCTACGAAAAGAAACACTGCATGTTATGTTTGCTGGATGAATCAATATACACTGGAAATGGAACTTTACAAACTACTGTGTACAAGAACAAGACACCGACTCATACCTGACCGTACTTGACAATTCTGGTAATTTTAAACTCAGAGTGAGACAAAACCCTATACTTTCGAAATAAAATTGTATGCGAACTCCAAATCGCCTCCGCGGCGTAACAACAAGCTCATCAACAAAATAGAGCAAAACAACTAAGGGAAATTCTTCACTCACGAACATTTCAGCACAGTAAATGGGAAGTTGAACAGAAGCGACGATAAGCAAAGTAGAATCCTAAAAAATAGACTTCAAAAGCCAGCCCCTTTATGATTCCACCCCTAAGGAATCTAAAGCAAAAAAATCAAGCAATTGGCAATTAGCATCGGGACAAAGATGGCATGCAACTACCCAAACAGACTAAGCGGGCCTTCTATACGAGAAAGGTATTTTGTCAGAGGAAACAGATGAAATTTCATACCGCTAAAATTGACTCCGTGGTAGGAGGCAGACTACAGAAGGCGGAAGAGGGCATAAGAATGTGCACTGAAACATGGAGTCCTTTGAAAAGCACAGCATACTTCTTGTTGTTGTCATCATAATCCCCATGTTGTCTAAAACTAACAAAACCTTAACTATACAGTAGTCCAGAATAATAATCTAAGCCATTATATTCATGCAGTATATCTAAGAATCACCTTATACGTGAGGCACCAACCGCAAAAAAATGAAGACTATGGACGTCGAGTAAGACCCCTGAATATATATTATCCATGAACATACAAGATGGAATATGTGCAAAGATTTTATGCAAAATTCACATAGAACATGTACAAGTATCCGGTATTTTGACAGATTTCTGAAATAACGCAAAAAAAACAACCGCATAGAATCACTGCAATTTCATTAACAACTTTTTTCATTAACGGACATCAACATTGCCTAATCTCGATGCCTACACTCATCTGTCATGTGCGATCTGTCGCCAATGACTTCTTTCTTTCCTGACTACCTGAAACGAGCTCTTTCAATTTAATGCATTTGGTACAAATCAGTCACTGCTGTAAAGTCCGACGATCATCCATCAGTAAAGCAGTGTAGGCCGTCGTATTCCGACTCCAGTAGCGCGCGTGGAACAGAGGGATTTTTGAACATAACATCCATCTGCTCTCAACCACGGCTGAATTGGGTTCCAGGTGACGGCTTTGTGAGGCTTGGCCCGCTCGGAGTCTTTTTGGTGAGTTCAGAACAAGTTTTATTACAGGAAGTTATGAACAGGCCATTATAACGTGCTCTATTTTTGTGTCTGAACAATGAAATGAGAGCGCAAGGTAGAAGATTTCAAAAACTGAGGCTGCCTTGGATCGAAGATCAATACGCCTGAAATTCGTAATTTATTTTATTGTGTGTGCGCGAGGGGGCGTACTGGTACGACGGCAGTCTACCCATTGCAATACCAGAGC